AAGTGGGATCATATCATATTTGTCCTTCCATATATAGCTTATTTCACAGGGCATGTTTTCAAGATCCATTCATGTTGTAGCAAGTATTGAACGTCATTTGTTTTATGGCTATATAATTAATATTCCTTTGTATGTATATGCTACATTTTATTTATTTACTTATCTGTTTATAGACATTTAGACAGTCTGCATCTTGTGGCTATTGTGAATAATACTGATCTGAATATTGTTGTATATGTTATATATTTGAATCCCTGCTTTCAGTTCTTTTGAGTATATGCCCAGGGGTGGAATTGCTGTGACTTATGGTAATTGAGGAGTCCTGGTGTGGCGCTGTGGTTTAATGCCTGGAGCACTATGTCTGAGCACTTTGGTGTCTTCCTTGGTGAAGCTGTAGCTCTTGGGCCTGCTCAGTATTGCTGGCTCCTCTATGAGGTACAGCCAAGAGAGGCAGGAAGGAGCCCTGTACCCTCCTCCTGCCAACCCAGGCTCTCTGGGCCTCCCTTTAGTCATTCTTGCCTTTTACTGACCTCCAGTGTACTACCAAGATTATTATTATTTTTAAAAAACTTTTTATTGTGAATTGAGTGAAAGTTTACAGAGCAGAACAGTTTTATATTCAATACATTATATACTTTGCTTCATTACATGGTTGTAATCCCCTCCATGTACCATCAGTTAACAGTATTTACCTTTATTCACTTGAACTCTTGCATTCCTCTCTGTGTCTCCTGCTACCTTCACCTTTCCTCTGTCAACCTCCTTCTTGTATATTGCCTGTCCTGTCACCCATGTTAACATGTGTCTATCCTCTAATCTGTGAATAATTTTGCCTCTATCCTTTCCTCACTACTCTGCCCCCTGGCAACCATCACAGAATGTTTCTTTTATTAAGATAGAAAGGATTATTAGTGATACTAATACCAAAAAATGTCTGACTTCCTCTGGGTTCACAAGTAGGAAGGAGAATCAAGCTCAAAATCAGCCCAAGGCCCATTTCCTGTGAAGGGGAGGGCAGACATGTCTCCTTTACCCTGTTCTGACACCAACCATCTTCCCACAGTGCTCTGCTTCAGATCTGGGTTTGATAAACCGCTGCAGTGGTCACATAGAACTAACTCATCACACTTGGCTCATGCTCTTCTTTCTTGATGGTCCTGGGATCATCTGTTCCTGCTTCTGAGATGGCCCCTTTTAAACCTAGTGGGTGGGGTGGCAAAATGAACCAGCCCATTACACCCTATTTGCATGGTCCCACACAATCATCAGACAGCCTTGGGATTTTAAAACACTGCCCTCACTCAGATTTTACCTTAGAAAAGAAGCTCATCAAAACAGAGCCTGAAGATTCAAGATAGCTGTGGAAATGGCATCGGATGTAAGGATCATGTTCCATCATAGAAATAAGCCTTAGTAACCAATGTTGCCTCATTCAGCTCAGATTTCATAGCCAAAGCCTAAGGTCTGTGGAAACCAGAAGACTGAACAACAGCCACAAAAGAGAAAATGGAGAGTGTTGCAATTTGTAACAGAAATAATTGATCCTTTCACATTCCTGTGTAAGTCCTCCTGTGTATGAGTTACATATTAATACTGTAAGCATTCATTATTTAAGAATGTACAATGTATTTGTGTAATTTATAAAAGTGAAATCTAGATGTTGCAACCTGCTTGGTCCAATATATGTGGATGCAGTTTATTTTACTTGAAATTTTTTCGTCTCAATGTATTTAGCATAAATATGAGTATAAGTCATAGTGTAGAATCTTTACAGTCATAAAAAAGAAAGTTTAAGTGGTGTAGTTATTGGCAAGGTTGCAACGACTGGAGTCGAAGGCAAATACTCAAGATAGCCAAGGAAACTTGTAGGGATTTACTATCTGATAAAACCAGTGCTGTTCAACAGAGGCTACATAGCTAGCTAGCATTCATATAATGGCATTTTTTTGCTGAGCTAATCAATGCATAAGGAGCTCTGGTAGCATAGTGGTTACAAAGTGGGTTGATAACATCAGGGTCAGCAGTTCAAAACTACCAGCTGTTCTGCGGGAGAATGATGAGGCTTTCTGTTCCCGTAAAGATTTACAGCCTCGGAAACCCTGTACAGGGTCGCTATGAGTCGGAACCTACTCCACGGCACATAACAACTACAACCCAATCACTGGAGTCATGGTGTGGCGCTGTGGCTAATGCACCAGACTGCAAAGTCCTTTGAACAGCAAGATCGGTGGTGCAAGCTCACCAGCTACTCCTTGGAAACCCTATATAGGGTCTCTATGGGTCGGAATCGACTCGCCGGCACTTAAAAACAAGAAGAAGATGACTGGATAGAAAAGCCATATTAAATAAATTTAAGGTACCACAAAAATAATAATAGTAATATATATCTATATATACCATCCCCCCAAAAAAGAACCCAAACCCACTGCCATTCCGTTGATTCCAACTCATAGCAACCCTAGATAAGGTTTCTAAGACTGTAAATCTTTACGGGCTGCTAACCTGAAGGCCGGTAGTTCAAAACTACCAGTGGTTCCACGGGAGAAAGATGAGGCGTTCTGCTCCCGTAAAGATTTACAGCCTTGGAAACCTTGTACAGGGTCACTGTGAGTCGGAAGCGACTCCACGGTACTTAGTAACAACAATCTTTCCTCCTGCAGAGTGGCTGGTGGGTTTGAGCTGCCAACTTTGTGCTTAGCAGCCCAACACCTAGCCCACACCACCACCAGGGCTCCTATACACACACACACACATATATATGTCTATCTCTATCTATCTATCTGTCTGTCTGTCTATCTATCTATCTATCTATCTATCTATCTATCTATCTATCTATCTATCTATCTACCATCAATCAATTAATCTATCTATCTATTTATCTATCTATTCCTATTTACCTTATTTATCTACCTAGCTACCTATCTATATATTTTTTAACCCTGGTTGCTTATCAGCATTGTCTGGTGAACTTTAAAATAATACAGATGTTGAAGCTTCACTTCAGTCTGAGAGATTCTGATGTGCAGCAAGGATTGAGAACCCCTGCACCCCATGATTCCAGATGAAGTGTTTTTCACCTATGGTTCCTGTACCCTGTTCATGCTTCTAGTTTCCATCTCTCTGGGTACCAGTTCTTCTCCAGTTCCTTCTGTTGAGACTTCTAGTCCATGGTCCTTTCCTTGGGAGGCAGATTGCAAAGTGGTTCTGGGTCTTCTTCAGCATGGCCTCTTTCACTCTGTGCTAAGCAGCAAATGTCATCATTTTATTGCCTTGTGTGTGACAATCAATCCTTCTTTCCAACCCAGATGCAAATTTTGACCCATTTTTACTTATTCTCAGCTGCTTCTGTCAGGATTGGGGGTGGGAGGTGGGAGCCAGATGCCTTTGTTCACATTACCATCTTCCCCAGAATTCAGACTATAATCTTTATATTATATGAGAATCATATTGAGATAGGAAGTATGCATACAGTACTTCTGATTATGTTCTGCTTTTATATATACATGTATCATGCCTGGTGTTTCCCACATGCATTCATTCACACTTCACACATACGTTTCTTACATATATACATTTGGTGTTCTTCAGATGATATGCATACATGTAACAATTTTTGTTTCTTTAATCTTTAAAATGAAAGTTGTGCATATAAAGAAGAATAATGTGATAGGTCTTCAAATTCTTTCTCATAATCATATTTTTCTATTTCCTATTTATAGTCAGGAATATTTTCTCCTAGCTAATTACCCTGTGCTGTATATTTCAGTGATATTTCAAATGTTGTGGACAATTCTGATTTTTACTGAGATAATTTGTCATTAGTACCTGTTTGGTAACAAGTCTCCGTTGGGAGAAATAGACATAAAAAGTGGTTATAAAATAGATGATCTCTGAGAGACACTCAAACTTTTTATCATTGTTAGAAAACATACAGGCTTTGTTAATAAATTTGCTTTTCTTTGAGAATTACCCATAGTACTCTTAGACTGTAAGTTCTTTAATTCACTGGTGACAAGCCTCATCTTATTGACTAAGAAAGGAGAACGTTGATAGAATGAATTTGACTGCAAGAGGCAATAAATTTGACTGCAGCTATAGGATAAGCACTGGACTGCAACGTCAGTTTGAACTGCAAGGTTGGTGGTTCAGACTCACCCGTCACTCCTTAGACAACCTGTACAGTGTTGCTATGAGTCAGAACTGACTTGATGGCACTTAACAGCAATAACAATACAGTGGCTGAGGCAAGTCAGCTTTGTAACGATTTTACTGCCTTTCGGAACCGACTCGACGGCACTTAACAACAACAAAACAACAGGCTTAGCTGTGCGTAGCTCTTGAGACACTTGGCTGTGGGAACCACCAGCTTCCTTCCTGGCCATGTACTTTTTGGCCACATACTATGTTATAGTTATAAGACCTATAATCTATGACCTTTGGCTTTTTCTCAGCCTTTCTGTTTTCTGCTTATTTGTATACTATTTTTCTTAAGAACTATCCAAGTGATCAGATTGTTGTTGTTGGTTAGTGCTGTTGAGTCGATTCCAATCCTTATCGACCCTGTATAGGGTTTCCAACGAGCATCTGGTGAGCTTGAACCGCCGACCTTGCAGTTCAAACAGCTTTGTAGTCTGACGCATTAATCCACAGCACCATTAGTTTTCTAAAAATACCACTTTATTAGTTTATGGAGATCTTTAACTTGCATATTTCTTTTGTTTGTCTTAAAAGTCTTGTGATATAGGAAAAGCAAGCTGAATTATCTTGATTTCCCAGATAAGGAAACTAAAGCTCATAGGGCTTAAATGACTTACCTAAGGTCATACAACTAAGATGTTATAGAGCCAGGACTTGGAGTTATTCTGCTGAAGCCAAACTTGATGCTTTTCCTGTTAAACACCCTGTCTCCTCTTTTGAAATGTCAGTTTGCATTGTGCTTAGTCATGCATGGTATGTTTTGTTAAGATGCTGCAACCTTTCTATGTTCTCTTATCTTTTAGAAGATGATATCTTACAAGATGATGGAGTTTTCAATATTTCGATACTTAATGAAACTTGTTTGAAACTGAAGAGGCATTCTAGGAGAATTGGATCTGAACAAATGTACCAAGTAAGATGACATCTTTAACAATAAAAGAGCTATGTCACATGAAACTTTGTTCTACAAGTGAGGATCCAAAGTATTTACAAACTACCAATTAAATGAGCTTCCAAAGAATTTATGATTATTGTTTCAAGAGTTAAATAACTGCTAGTTAGGGATGATATTAAAGAAAGACACTTTATTCTATGGCTTGTTAAAACTTTTCCTTTCCAGTATTTATTATGTTTTATTTTAGTGCAATTAGTATAACTTACTAATTACAATTCATTTTGTCATTAAATATACGTATTTTGAGAAATCTATTACATGGCTGCTGCTTTAATTTAGGTTTTTAACTATCACACATTTTAAGTAAAAAAATTCAAGTAAATTTAGGTAGATAGAAACTGCAACTGTTATATTTGTATCAGTTTTAATACCTTGCTATATATGGAGCACCAACAATCCTCCTAAAACCCTGGTTCTTCCTCAGCTGGGTTCAATAATTTGTTGCAGTGGTCACACAGAACTCAGGCACCATAGTCAGATGGATTTTATTAGGGAAGTTGTTGTTGTTGTTATGTGCTGTGGAGTCGGTTCCGACTCATAGCGACCCTGTACAGGGTTTCCGAGGCTGCAGATCTTTACGGGAGCAGAAAGCCTCATCTTTCTCCCGTGGAACAGCTGGTAGTTTCGAACTGCTGACCTTGTGGTTCGCAGCCCTATTCATAACCACTACACTACCAGAGCTCCTTTTAGGGAAGTTAACAGGTTACTATTCAGGGTAAGAAATGCTCAGGGCACAATTGTTCCAGTCAGCTGCTGATAAATGTCCATAGGTCATACCACTCCACCATAAACCTCAGCCTACAGAAACTTGGCTCTAGCTCTATGGATCAGCAAACCTAGCTCCCTCACTTAAGTGACCTGGAGGTACACCACTGCTCCCGTCACTCAGCTTTAGTTGCTCCTTGGGCTCGGAAGTCCACTGCTCTGTCTTGTGCTCTGGTTCTTGGTTCTGCTGCTTCTGCATCTCTGCCACTCCTGTGATGTTTTGTTTCTGGGTCTAGGGGGTTCAGTGCACTGGGATTTCAGGGGCCAAAGAATGCATTTCCCTCATGGCTCTTCTACTTTAATTGTTTTGCTGTCCCTCCTCTCATGCTGGAGTTTCAAGTTTTTACAATTACAATGAGTTCTGTGAACATCCACATCTGAATCATGTTATTTGATTAGTATCTTTTCCCACCTTCTCTTACTCAGACCCATCGGGGAAAAGAGTAGTTTGGTGGTAGTTACAAAGACCTAAGTCTAGAAGAGCCATATCATATAATTCAGCACATCACACTTGCATGTTCTATAGCAGAGCATAGACTCAGTAAATATTACATTCAAATGAATTTATTCAATAATCATTTACCAGAACAACATTGTGATTAGCACTTTGAAATTCTAAATCAACTTAATAGAAATATACACTAGGCAACTATAGTATGGCTTAATGAATGCTTTGGTAAAAACTAAATAGATAATGGAATGGAAGATTGTGTGTGTGTGTATGTGTGTTTTCAGGAACAAATTTTTATGAGCACAGTGTCCTGAATTCCAAGGGAAGGAGTAGGAAGGAGCCAGATAAAAGCAGTAGGGTGAGGACATATTGGGTAAGTGTGTCACTCTCAGGATTGTGGCTCTCTCAGGAAATAGAGAAGTCAACTGAACTGGGAGTATAAAAAGATGAAACAAAAATGTAAGCAGTGGAGAGATCATAAAAAATCCCAATAAGCTGTGCTTTTGGTTTGGATTTTATTTTGGTATTTATGTGGAACCACTGATGCAGGGAAATAAAATATTCACATTTCTTTATTAGAAAGAGTGCGGGGACTAGAAACATATCCAAGTGTTCAGATAATTAAACACAAGATAAAGATTTAGACAAAAAGTAAGTTTAATTCGATAGATGGCTCTGGGACAATTAACACTTGGTTAAGAAAATGAACTATCCTTATCACACATCTTAAGGCGTTCTGGTAGTATAGTGGGTTACAAATCGGGCTGCGAACCTCAAGGTTGGTGGTTCGAAACTCCCAGCTGTTCCAGTGGGAGAGAGATGAGGCTTTCTGCTCCTGTAAAGATTTACAGTCTCGGAAACCCTATACAGGGTCCCCATGAGCCGAAACCAACTCCAAGGCACATAACCACCACCACCATCTTATATAAAATGACTAAAGAATTAACTGGAAAAAATTTGAGACCCCAAAATATGTAAAAAAACAACATAGATGAATAATAATCTGATCATCAAAGCAAATGATGGGCAGATTTGTTTACTTAAAAAAAAAATCTACGAGCAGAAATTTTAGTAAATAAAATTTCAAAGAAAAAGGAAAAAGCAAGGATAATATTTGTTATCTAAGGGGTTTTCAAAAAGTTCATGGAAAAATTTCATTATCTTTTAATTCGATTTTTCCATGAACTTTTTGAAGCTCCATTGTATATGTGCTAGACAAAGATTAATTTATGTAATATAAAAAATGCTTTTAAAGAGTCCATTGGCAAAGAGTGAATACTCAAAAGTAGGTTACGGAAGAACACATAACATATTGCCAAAGCACACAGGAAAACATGCTTTTCTTACCAATAGGAAAAATGATATAAATTAAACCTTGAGATACACTGATTCTCTATAAGTTTGGAATAATTAACCAATAATACCCAGCATTTGAAAAAAAAAACTATTCATATTTTAAGCTGAGTATACTCCTGAGCCGTAAGTTTTTGTTCCTTCAGTTTCTTCAGTGCAACTTCCTCCCCTGGTTTAAGAACAATTTGTTCCTTTTTAGTAAGGATCCTATCAATGTGCCCTGGGAAATTCATGTAGGGGTTAATTTGACCATGAACTCTGTAAGTTTGGGTGTATATTGGGGGCTTTGTTCACCTAGATGTGCTCAATGACCAGAGAATCTACAGCTAAATCTTTTAAGTTCAGCATTGCTATGTTTCTTGACTCCTAAAGAGGGGGTCAGGTGTGTACTGCTACAACCTTATGTATTTTTGCCTGGATACTTGCTAGAGACACCCTGGTGGTGCAGTGGGTTAAGTGTTGGCCTGCTAACTGAAAGGTTGGTGGTTCAAATCCACCAGTCACTTTGTGGGAGAAGGGTGAGGTAATCTGCTTCCATAAAGATTTACAGCCTCAGAACTCTATGGAACTGTTCTATTCTGTCCTACAGAATTACCATGAGTTCAAATCCACTTGAAAGCAAAAACCTTGTTTTTTGTTTTTTTTTTAATTGGGGGTGGGGTTCGTATTTAGATATTTATCTGTGAGGTCTTTGAGGTTAGGAACTGTGTCCTGTTTGTCACTGGACCCTAATGCTAAATGTTCTGGCTAGCAAATAGTTGTTGTTAAAGTGCTGTCAAGTTCTGGCACATAGAGATCCTGTATAAGGTTTTCAAGGTGATAGTAGCCAAGTATTAATTTAAGTGTTCAGCAACTATGATGTTGTTATTGCTGTTGTTAAGTGCTGTTGAGTTGGTTCTGACTCATAGCGACCCTGTAAATGGTTGCCAAGTAGTGGCTATGGGTTTGAACCACCAACCTTGTGGTTAACAGTCCAGTGTTTATCCTCTAGCGCCACATCAGGACTCCTCCAGGAGCTAATGAATCATTTATAGAATGAATTAATGACATAATTAAAAATATATGTATTGGTAAGTGAAAGGACTATTTTATAAAGTGCATACAGTGCATACAGTGTGATTCAAGGTTTGAATCTAAAAAGTAATTTTTAACTTTATTTGCATACACTAAAAATCACCTGGTCCTGGTGTGGTACTGCAGATTAATGCGCTAGACTGCAAAGTGGGTTTGAACTGCAAGGTAGGTGGTTCAAGCTCACCAGTTGCTCCTCAGAAACCGCTATGGGTCGGAACCAATTCAATGGCACTGAACAACAACAAAGGGTGGAGACAGACTTTGCAGAGCTGCGGCCTGCATAGTTGTGTGGTTTTTGTCCAGCAGGTGGCAGTAGCCTGGATGTAGAAATGGTGAACTCAAATAGCTAGATTGATCAGGTGTTTTGAAATTTTTAGAATGGATGAAATTGAGAGCCAAGGAGTCTAAAACTTTGAGGGTATTGAACTAGAAAATGGTTGAAATGAGAGCAGTATCTATGATAGCACTAAATATGTGCCTTTTTGTTACACATCTTATACTTTTACAGTTGTCACAATGATAATCAGTCATAGCAATTACTCACTAGCCCCATCTCCTTTCACCAGACCCCTCTAGACAAGATGATTACTATTGAGTGGGGATTCTACCTTCCCCTGCATGTTCTGAAACTAAACTCCCTCTTGAAAACTTGTAAGCCAGCCACTTTGTGCCTTTATAGCCCCCTCATTTTAGGTAGCCAATGTCTAGTTACCCATTCCTATCAACCTTGTGTACTGAGTGGATGAAGCCAACAAGAAATTTAATACCAATTTTTTTTTTTTTTTTTTTTAATCTCTCGACAGTTTAAAATTCTGGGTCAAAGGTTGTATCTGAATCATTATTATCATGAAACGTCATTTAACATCACGACGAGGGAGCAAGCCCCAGTAGTGTGTTTAAATCTGTACCCAGCAACTGATTACACCGTGAATATTACCTTACTGGCACCTCCCAAGCAGCATTCAGTACAAATTAGAACAAGAACCGCACCAGCCGGTAGGTTTAGATGTCATTGTATTCTTATACCCCCGGACAACAAGTTTAATATGTAAGATGGCTCCTAGAGAGTAGGGATCAGTAATGCACTGCTTTATTCTGGGTCCTCTGTTAACAGTTAGGCTGAGAATGCTCCTAAATCTCTTACCTCCTGACCTCAGATTTAAGACAGCCATACATGTAGGGTGGTCATTATGGACAACTTCTCAGAAACCAGAAAGGTAAGCTGTAACTGGCAGGACAAAGATGACAAAGACGTGCCATATACGAACATATTAACCCAATGTAGAGAACAGTTGCCTAAAGACAATCCAGCTCCTTAGACATGCTTCTCTTCCCTTGGGGCATTTTGAAGAAACCAAGTAGAGATCACTGTTAGCTCCACAGCTTCCCCTAGTGGAAATGGCCCCAGAAGGCACAGCAATTTTTTTGTTTGCTTGCTTGCTTTTCTTTAATTCCTTTAACAGCTAAGCCTTCAGGCAACCAGTAGGAGAGGCTCCTTGCCTCCCCATCCCCATTGAATAAAAACAACAGAACAGTTTAGATCTTGTTGCTGCCTTCCAGAGACCTCTCTCAGATGCTCACTAGGGCTCTTTCTGGATCAGGATTTGTCTGTTTGAATGTTACACTTGGAAGGCTTTAGGTCCATGCAGTACCTAAAGCTGCAAATTCACCTTTTATTCTATTTTCCATCTCAGATTATGTTTGGCTGCCTTGTCCTAAATGTATTTCATGAAAACATAATCCCCAAATAAGTTTCCAATTACATAATAATGCTCACAATTTGAATTCATTCCCTCCAATTTCTAGATTCTCAGAGAAATTAAAGTCTACATATTAAATCTACTTCTCCTTGTGAATTAAACTATATAAATCCCAAATTATTTCCTCTCCAATGTCTTACTCTGATGAATTCCAACCAAAGTGGTGAAACTGAAATGGAGAGTACATTCTGGCTGTTGTACTGTAGAAATCTTGTTTTGTAATAGAGGTTGCTTCTTCTGTACCTATAAAGTTGAATTAATATGATTCTAAGTCTCATTTCTCAATTTTAGCCCCAGAGGCACACAAAAATGGACTAGATATGTTCTTCTTGCACCTGGGGAAGGCCTCTGCAAAGCAGAGGCTGTTTCACTGACTGCTGGGTTAGCGAAGGCAGGACCTGGCCATGCCTTGTCTACCAGGAGGCCATGGGAACAAGGAAGAGCTGCACGCCCTTGCCACCAACCTTTAGCCACATCCTGTGCCTGCAGGCTGCTCTATCAACAGCTACTCCCAAAAGCTTAAGTTGACTGTGCTGCTCCATGCCAGCCACAGTCTGTCTGGTTTTCTTCTCTCTCACTGCTCCTGCTCAGCTTCCTCTTCCAGAGGACACTTGGTCTACTTCTCTGTCCTAGCCTCAGAAGCTCAGGGTTCCAGGACTACCATCTGTATCTGCTTCACTTGGTCTTCTATGTCTTTGTTGCTGGGGTTGGCTCAGTGTGTCTGCTTATTTGGCCATCTTGCTCCGGATCCCTTGGGAGACTGAATCTTGCCCTTCTTCCTACCTGAGATTACACAGGACAGACTGACAAGTGAGAAGCAAAGTATCAATTTTATTGATCTGAGCAAGTCCACAGGGACTCCCCTCCAGTACAGGTTCAAGGTAAAACCTCATATGCAAGTTGAAGTTGAGGACAATTAAAACATATCCACAAGAGCAAAATATAACCTTAAATAGATCCCACCTGAATTTAGAAACCATTACAAGAACAGATTTGATTTTCTGAACAGATTTGAAGCATTAGACACCAGTGACAGAAGACCAGAAGAGTTGTGGGATGGCATCAATAACATCATAGATGAAAAAAGCAAAAGGATCATTAAAAAGTCAGGAAAGAAAGAAAAGACCAAAATGGATGTCAGAAGAGACTCTGAAACTTGTTATTGAGTGTACGGGAGCTAAAGCAATGGAAAGAAATGATGAAGTAAAAGTGCCGAACAGAAAATTTCGAAGTGTATCTTGAGAGGACAAGTATTACAATGAAATGTGGAAAGACCTGGCATTAGAAAACCCAAGGGGAAGAACATATTAAGCATTCCTCAGATTGAAAGAACTGAAGAAAAAAAATTCAAGCCTCAGTTTTACAATGCTGAAGGAGTCGATGGGTAAATCTGCTGCACAAGACCTCTTTAAAGGGTTCAAGAGCAAAGATGCCAGTTTGAGGACTCAGGTACACCTGGCCCAAGCCATGGTATTTTCAATCACCTTACATGCATGTGAAAGTTAGAGAATGAATATAGAAGACTATAGAAGAATCAATACATTTGAATTATGGTGTTGGTAGAATATCATGGACTGCCAGAAGGAAAACCAAGTCTGTCTTGGAAGAAGTACCACCAGAAATCTCCTTAGAAGCGAGAATGGTAAGACTTCATCTCTTGTAATTCAGACATGTTATAAGGAGGGACCAGTCCCTGGAGAAGGCCATCATGCCAACAAGATGGATTAACACAGTAGCAGCACCAATGGGCTCAAACATGACAATAATTGTGAGGATCGTGCAGGGCTGGGCAGTGTTTTGTTCTGTTGTTCATTGTGTTGCTATGAGTCAGAAATGACTGGATAGCACCTAACAACAACAACAGCATGGGCAAAATACTTATGTAGGAAACATCAAAAAAACGTGGAAGGAATACAGTCACTGCAACAAACTTGGTGACACTTAATAACAATAGTCAGAAAGGGAGTTGTTATATTGCTCATAAGGTTAAAACAAAGCAGTATTTTTCAAAAGTACTTTTTGCCCCCATACCAACATCATAATGAATGTCTGATTTCAAGGGTCTTATAGATAGGAGAATTTATGAGCAGCCTTCTATAAGGATTTTATGGAATATTTTCTCATATTGTCTTTCAACACAGCTGATTATGTGATAGAAAACCATATTTCAGCAAGGGGCGGATTTGGGGGTAGAAAAAGGTTATTTTAATGATTTGGAGGAATGGATGGAATCCATGTCTTTTAAAGAATGTTTCCTAAATATTATTTCTCTCAGAAGAAATGTGATAAATGTTTGGTGTCATTTAACTTTGGACTGTTCTCTCTCATTAGTACCCAGAGAGCAGTTATTCTGTGTTGCTGGTTGAATAACAAAGACTGTCCACCCCTATTAGAAAGTTGAGCCAAGAAAGTGCTCTCAGAGGTCATAAATAGCCTCTGAGGATTGTTTGGAACTGCTCTGGATAGATGAATAAGTAATTGAATCTCTAAAATTCTTCTTCATATAACACGGGCACATAGCTTTAGCCTGAAAAATGTCATGGTAATTGTAATTAGATACTGTTTTTTTTTTTTTCCTAAAGAAAAATTTCAGTAAAATACAGCAATATCCAGCTTCACCCAGTGTTACATTCTCTTGTTCTGGCTAAGATAAACTGTTTACAAGATGTACACCAAGGATACAAAGTAACTGAAAGATAATTTAATGTTATTGCTATTTATAGAGCAGCTGTAAAAATAGTAACTTTTAGAATAGTTGATTTATAGTCCTTTCTGACAGAATTTAGCTTGCAAAGTTAACTGTCTATTTAGTCTATTTCTAATTTGAGTCTTAGAAACCATACCGTTTATTTATCAAAGAATGCTTGCTTTTCTGTTCCAGTTAGCAGAGAGTTGCAAGCATTCAGATAATTCTATAGCAGGGCTGGTGTGTTAATATTTTTCAAAAGAAGAGGGAATAGAACGCTCAATTTTACTCCCTAGTAGGAATTTGTGACTCCTGTTGTTGTTGTCAGGTGCCACGGAGTTGGAACCGACTCATAGCGACCCCATGCACAGCAGAGCAAAACAATGTCCAATCCTGGGCCAACCTCACTACCGCTGCCACACTTGAGGCCATCAGTGATGCCACCTGGCCTATCCATCTCGTTGGGGGTCTTCCTCTCTTTCTCTGACCCTCCACCTTACCCAGCATGACATCCTTCTCCAGCAACTGTTCCCTTCTGACAACATGTCCAAAGTATGAGAGACGAAGTTTAGCCATCCTGGCCTCCAAGACTGCACTTCTTCCAAAACAGATCTATTGGTTCTTTTGGCAGTCCATGGCACTTTTAGTATTCTCCTCCAACACCACAATCAAAGGCATCAATCCTTCTACGATCTTCCTTATTCACTGTCCAGCTTTCGCATCCATATGAGGTTATTGAAAATACCATGGCTTGGGTCAGGCGCACCTTAGTCCTCAAGCTGACATCTCTGCTCTTCAATACTTTAAAAAGTTCCTGTGCAGCAGATTTGCCCAATGCAATACGTCGTCTGATCTCTTGACTGCTGCTTCTGCGAATGTTGATGGTTGATCCAAGAGGAATGAAGTCCTTGACAACTTCAATCTTTTCTCCATTGATAAGAATGCTGTTTATTGGTCCAGTGGTAAGGATTTTTGTTTTCTTGACATTGAGATGCAATCCATACCAAAGGCTGTGTTCTTTGATCTTCATCAGTAAATATTTCAAGTCCTCTTCACTTTCAGCAAGCAAGGTTGTATCATCTGCATATCACAGGTTGTTACTGAGTCTTCCTCCAATCCTGATGCTACATTTTTCTTCATAGAATCCAGCTTCTCAGATTATTTGCTCAGTATACAAATTGAATAAGTATGGTGACAGAACACAACCTTGTCGCACACCTTTCCCAATTTTAAAACATTCAGTGTTCCCATGCTCTGTTCGAACAACTGCTTCTTGGTCCAGGTACAGATTTCTCAGAAGTACAATTCAGTGTTCTGGAATACTCATACTTTGCAATGTTGTCCATAGCTTGTCATGATCCACACAATCGAAAGCCTAAGGTGACATTATGATACATGTCTCCTAAATTGTTGTTGTTAGGTACTGTTCCAACTCATAATGGCCCTATGCACAACAGAATCAAACACTGCCTGGTCCTGTGCCATTCTCACAATTGTTGTTATGTTTGATCCCATTGTTGCTCCCACTATGTCAATGCATCTTGTCCAGG